ATTGGCTTCATTGTATGATGAGATGGCTAAGGCAGAGAGGCTAGGCGAGTCAACTGCTGCTGCTGCTGCTGCTGCTGCTGCTGCTGCTGCTGCTGCTGGCGGTGTGTTAGTTTCTTAGAGAAGCAGCGAAGATGAGCCTGCTGCAGCAGCAGCTGCTGCAGCAAGAAGCGCGTCAGCAGCAGCAGCGGCAGCAGCAGCAGCAAAACCCAAGCAGCAGCACCAAGACGAACCCTAAAAAAAACAAACAAAAACATCAGCAGCAACAAGTAAAAGGAGACAGAAGAGGAGACACAGCAACAGACAGACGGCAGCAGCAGCAGCAGCAGCAGCAGGAGACAAGCAGCAGAAGCAGCAGGAGACAAACGGCAGCAGCAGAAGCAATAGCAGCAGCAACAGTAGCAGCAATAGCAGCAGCAACAGCATCAGCAACAACTGCAGCAGCAACTGCAGCAGCAACTACAGCAGCAACTGCAACAGCAGCAGCAACAGCAACAGCAACAGCAGCAGCAGCAGCAGCTGACGTGTATGTCTCTGTTGCTGCACTCCCTGCGTTGTCTTTTGCCTGCAGCAGCGGCAGCACAGCAGCACCAGTAACAGGCTGCGACAGCTGCTGCAGCAGTATATACACCTGAACGCAAAACCCTAAACCCTAAACCCTAAACCCTAAACCCTAAACCCTCGTTGCTGAGGTTTTCTTTTCTCCTCGCAGTAGGCTCTTAGATTCAGAGTTTATAAATAAACAGAAAAGGGTTGGGGATATTAGGGTTTAGGGTTTAGGGTTTGCATAAGGGTTTAGGGTTTAGGGTTTAGGGTTTGCGTAAGGGTTTAGGGTTTAGGGTTTAGGGTTTGCGTAAGGGTTTAGGGTTTAGAAGAGGGTTTACGGTCCAATCAAAATATTTAGGGTTTAGGGTTTAGGGTTTAGGGTTTAGCAAGGGTTTAGGGTTTATTTAAACATGAGTGAATGCTTCTATGAAGGGTTTAGGGTTTAGGGTTTAGGGTTTAGGGTTTAGGGTTTAGGGTTTAGGGTTTAGACTGGCCTGTAGCAGCAGCAAGACAACAACAACCACCAGAAAAGGGATAGCTGTGTTGTTGCAGCTCAGTGCATCTGCTGCTGCTTTTGTTGCTGCTTTTGCTGCTGCTCTGCTGCTGC